GTTACGCTCAAGGACGGTCCCATAATCGACCATCCCANAGCTCGTTTGGCCCGCCGTATCGACCAATAATCACCCAATGAGCTTGGGGAACATCACAATCAATGATCAACTAAACCCTAGAGTTGGTCAAATGTTCCCTCTCTTTATCATTTAAGTGGTTTAATCGAGTCGTTTGTTTCTTAGTCGGTACCTGAGCTCTTGGCATAATAGTTCGTCCATGGTGTATGCAGTGCTTACCTAATGCCTTTAGCATCCCTAAGGGGGCTAACGTCGAATGATACCCTTTGGCTAACTAAGTATCGCTCTCCAGCCACGGTGTGAACGTTCATTCTTACTCCCGGCCACTTAACCCCAACAGTTCGGACAATTACTTTCAAAGATTTTTCGCAGTGCATTATTTTTACCGAGGTAAGTAATACCATTCGGCGCGGAACAGGAATCCCCCACGATTGCTCGCGTATCGCGGACACTTGATCCCTACGCGACAAGTGGTGCTTGCCGGTGCAACCATCAAACAAGCATTTACCATTTGCTTCACATGTCCGCGCCAGGTGGAGTTCAGCCAGAGAGCAACGGTGTGGCTGAACTGAACCATGATGCCTGTAATCGTTTTCTTAGTCTTTGTTCAATGATATGAATACCTGATTGGGTTTATGATTCCTGATGATTTTAGGCTATCGGGGAATATCTTGACCCTATGAGCTGGTGGTGTTTCTGCTGAAAAATTCCCCAAGATTATCATGCGTTTACTGCACGCTTCTGTCTCAGATAGCTTATTGATGGCGTCTAAGGTGATTTGGTCAGAGATCTTGAGGGTCTTTTTGCTGGCTTTAACCAGGAAAGAAAAGCTCACAAGTAGTGCTTGCACCCCCACCAACTCAGCCTCCAGTTGGGCAACTTTCGTGTTTAGACTTAAGATTGCCTCGCTCTGTGGTAAGATTGTTCTGTTTTATATCACTAGTGAAGTGTTGAATACCGTGTTGTCGAGACGCATATGTAGCATTTCCTTGTCCAGAGATACATCCGGGATTGAGACAGCATCGTTATTTGCTACTAGCCTTTTAAAAGTTGGTTGTGGTATAGCGATGATAATAATAATAATAGTTATAACGGTATATTTTACGAAGCCCGTGAAGCATGCTGGTGCGCATGAGCAAATATACAACAATGTAAAAAAATAACAGTCCAGACAAAATTTATTTATGCAGAGAGGGTAAGAACGTAATTCTCAAACGGGCACAGAAGACATCTTAATGATGTATTGCGGTGAAAAAGAAGCACAAATCGGAGAATATCATATTGAGTACTGGGGGTGATCTGCTATGGAGATCACATCAGTATAAACGATTGTCTTACGAAGAACATTGAGGAACACACAGAACTGGAGTTGGAAATATCCGCTTGTTAGATAATGTACTGAAACGAGTTCTGAGAATAGAAGGAGAATAATGAAAGTAAAAGCTTTAGAATTTCAGAAGATGAGCTGCGATCGATCCAAGGAAGTGCAACAGGATACAGTAGGACGACAAATGGATCATAAATAAACTGTTTCAAGGATCGATACAGATAGATTGACTTCTGTGAACTAGGAATAATGGGCTCCGGGGTTCCACCGTTAACGGATTATTTGGTTTATTTTATGTTATTTGATGTGGGACTGACTACACGCTAGACACCCTACCTTAAAACACTTTAAAGGTGTAATATTATAAGAAAAATAGGAAAACAGCAATAAATGGAAAATACAGTAGGGTACTACAGTATTACACAGTAAATTTTGGTCTTTGGCACACTAGAGGCCGCGGCCAGAAAGATGATACCAAAGGTGTTAGAAAAAGATGTTAGAAAAAGGAGTAATAATAATAATAATAAGTGTATATTTCACGGAGACCCGCGAAGCATGCATAGGCATGATCAAATGTACAACATAATTACCCATATATGAAAAGCCGAAGAGGAAAACTTTGAAGGTCGCATTGAGCATAATTACAAATGGAACACAAAGTGGACAAGGTGTCAGAGAAAATGTTTCGAGATGGCAGAATGTTCCAAAAGAGCAAGTCGGTGGAAGAAGAACGAAAAACAAAAATCGATATACAGGATGAATGATGCGATAATTGGAAATACGACAATCAGTGAGTAAAATAACAAGAGGCAGCCTGCCGATCGTTAGACGGGAATGGACAGAAGTGGGGGACACTCAGAGTGTGCATGATAGAAAAGCAGCACAGTCATTGGAAGATTTTATTTTATCTTGCATCTGGATTTTCAGTTATACTCGGAATAAATTCACCCCTGGGTCACGTGCCACTCTAACGGAAGACGCCCCTTTTTCTTACAGCAACAGATCCCTGAGAAAGAAGACAGAAACGTGAAACAGTCTAGGTTGTAACCTTGCTGATGAGGGATTGAGAGAGAAGGAAGCATGCAAGTTATTGTGCAATTTTATCTAAAAAGTTCCGGACAGTCAAGTAGACGACTACTAGCTGGTATCTATAAAACCGTCCACAAAGATTGCCACTGGACATAGTATGCAATGGCAACAAAGGCGAACTGAATAAATTCGATATCTCACTACGGCATAAAAACAGACTGGCATGTAAAAAGACGTACTCATCAGAACAATGTTCATTCCATTGATCAGCCATGTAGGTTAACCAGCGTACTGTATCTAGAATCCGTTCTGATAAGCATTTTGTTTAGAAAGTGAACACAGCTGCCGGTCAGCATGTGCCACGAAGGTGAGTCAAGTGATACAGGTGAAAACCGTAAAAGGAATAGCTGGATTATGGAAGAAGGGGTCGCAATACGTCTAGTAGTATGCACCCGAATTTAGTATGTTCCACAGATCCAGCTTTGATCCTGAATCCGTGTAGTGATAAGAATTGGGTTTAGTATGTTTTAGCAAGTTGGATCTAATGAGTCAACTTTAAACCTTGATCCGGAGTGCATTAATTTTGAAAAAAAGTATTCGTACCGCATTGCAGGTTCGGTAAGGATATCTATTAATTGCGGTCTTTGCCAGACGGTTAATATTCAAGCCCATTTTCACAAGCTGATGATTCGTCGTGAAGATTGTGCAATTGGGCAGTATTCGGTAGAGTGAGAAATCGACGGATATGATTTCTAAACGTCGGGACAGTCGTTATTTGCCTTATTTCGACTGGAAGTTTATTCCAGAGGCGTGAATAACAACTTAGGAAAAATTTTCGTCGGGCGTTCGTTCTATCTTTATGTAACGGGAGGACAT